TTCATATCTATTTTTCGTAAGAAGCAGTTGCATAAATCTTCACTAATTATTTTGATTTTTTATTTGTATTAATTTCAATTCAATTTGTTTGGTAAGAAAATCACTGCAATGTTAGAAAAATTTAGTTGCATTTTAGGAAAGATTGATGATTCTTTTCACTTTGTTTTAACCAAATATTCGTATCAATTTATTTGTAAAAAAAATCAGTGTATTGGTTGAAAAATTCAATTTAATTTTTAGGAAAAAACAATGATTTTTTAAATTTTTCTTTAATCAAAATTTTGAATTAGATTTAATGATTATAGAGTTGTTTTCATTGATCTTTTAATCATCCTACCAATTTCAGAGTTTCGATTATGATTACTCTGTACTTTTGATATCGGTGTGAAGGAATTTTGGCCGTTAGGGTTGCCGGCATCTTCAGCTATGAATAAAGATTCAAGTCCAACCCAAGATGAGGATATATCGCAGAGACTAGAAAGCTTTTCACTATCAGACAGAGAAGCAGCTTTTATTGAAATTGCTCATGAGGATATTCAATTTAGTGCAGATGAATGTCATAGAAGTCTGTTTGGAAAAATTATAGGGGATAGAAGAGCAAGCTAGATGGGGGTAAAGCGCTCAATGAGCTTCATCTGGAAGCTTTCTCAATCTATGGAGGTGAAGGAATTAAGGCCCAACTTTTTTCAGTTCATCTTTCAGAGCAGGGATGACCTACAGAAAGTTCTAAGTGGCACTAACTGGAGCGTCAACAATCAGTACCTAATTTTGAAAGAATGGAGAGATGGAATGTCCAGCAAGCACCCATGTTTCCAAGAACTCAACATTTGGGTTCAGGTACTTAATGTTCCTCTCAACTGGATGAGTACTGAGGTGGGTATTAAAATTGGGAAAGTTTTTAATGGGATGGATAATGTGGTTGTAGTTAGCTCTGGTAGTCATGGAGGCAAAATACTCAGGCTTTTAGTCTCTTTAAATCTAAATGAACCTCTCCCATGTTGCTCTAATGTAAGGTTGGGGGACCAAGTAGTTAAAATCAGTTTCAGATATGAGAGATTGATGAACTTGTGCCATTACTGTGGATATATTGGCCATTTAGACAAAGGCTACCTTAAAAGAATAAGTGATATCAAGTCTAATAATGTCAAAGAAGGTCAATTTGGTGATTGGCTTAAAGCTTCTGAAGGGCAAAATTGGGTTGAAGAGTCTAATTCTACCTTAAAATCTTCTAATGCCCAGCCATCCTCTTCAGATCAAAGATCTCAGCATCATATCATGGCAAGCCAAAATGAGCAGAGGCAGCAGCTTATTGTTCATCCAAAAGAGTCTAATCCTACCTTAAAATCTTCAGCTAATGACTCATCTCCTAGCTCCCTGAATGGCATCAGCAAAACAATTGGTGTAGACCTTGTTAACCCTCAAACCCAAGAACCTATGAACCCAATGGAGGTGGAACCAGTATCATCTTCTTTGGCATTAGCTATCTCTCCTCGAAATTCTGATAAAGGAAAAAACATTCTGAAAATATGAAAGAGAGTTGGGGCAAAAGATGGCAAACTTCAGAGACAGGATATATCTCCTAAGTCTGTTAGTCATACCCTCAATAAAAGAGAAAGAGCAGAAAATCCTATGCTTACATCAGAGGGTGAAGATTAAGTAGTTTTGGACAATGGAAAAAAGAAGCTGAAAGTAGTTGTAGAAGAGGTAGGGGTGGCCAGCCTAGAATGGCACCCAAGTGAACCATGCTAGCTGCGGTGTGGAACTGTAGAGGGCTGGGTGGGCCCTCTATAGTTTCCGAAATCAGAGGGATTATCAGATCCCACCACCCAGCTTTCATTTTTTTGTCAGAAACTAAAAAAACCAATGGCTTTGTCAAATCGGTTGTTAGAAAACTAGGCTTTGAGGACAGATTTTCCCTTGTTGATCCTCAGGGTATAAGTGGAAGCCTTTTGCTGCTTTGGACCTCTTCAGTCACTATTTTGCAAATTTATAGTACAAACTACTTTATTGCAGTTCATTTCAACTTTCATCTGCAGACTCGCAGTGGGGGATTTTTGTGTATATAAGTACTTGCAGGGCTATCCGAGCTAA